ATCCTGATGATCCGACGATAGCTGCTCGCATCTCAGCTTGTCTATATATATTTTCTGCAGGGATGCTGCAGCGTCTGCAGCTGGACTCTCAGCCGGACGACTTGAGCTTCATCGGCTGTATAGCAAAGACGATGTTCAGAGATGACACCACTAACTGGGGCCGGGTCGTGAGTCTGGTGGCCTTCGGAGCTGTGGTGTGCTCACAGCTGAAGGAGCTGCAGAGGGAGCGGTGCGTGGAGACGGTGGCCCAGCTGATCTCCTCTTATCTGATCTCAGAACAGCACGACTGGCTGCTCAATAACAAGGGCTGGGTGAGTGACACCTGTGTGTGTGTGAGTGTGTGTGTGTGTGAGTGTGTGAGTGTGTGTGTGTGAAACCCGACTCCTGGAGCTCGTGTGTCAGACAGACTGCCATTAACCTAAGTCCAAGTCTTTAATGTTTCTGTTATTACAAAATGTACTTTTTTTTTTTTTTTTTTTTTTTTTTAATGGAACAAAAACTTTAGAAATAATTTTTTTTTAACTATGCTAAACTTTTTTTTTTTTTCCTAAGAATTTATTTTTCATAAAATTACATTATTATATTTTATATAGCGTATGTTTTTTTTTTATAATGAAAATTATAGAATTTCTTAGAAAAAAAAAGGTTTATCAGTTTTTTTAATTTCTAAGAATTTCTCTTTTTCATAAATTTATATAATTTTTTTATATAGCATATATAAATGTACTTTTATTGTAATGAAAATTTGAGAATTTTTTTAATTAAAAAAAAAATTTAGTTGGCTCTTTCCTTCTCCCAATTTTTTATTTTTTTTTTTTTTAAAAAATTTTTTTTTTTTTTTTTTTTTTTTTTTTTTAATGGAACAAAAACTTTAGAAATAATTTTTTTTTAACTATGCTAAACTTTTTTTTTTTTTCCTAAGAATTTATTTTTCATAAAATTACATTATTATATTTTATATAGCGTATGTTTTTTTTTTATAATGAAAATTATAGAATTTCTTAGAAAAAAAAAGGTTTATCAGTTTTTTTAATTTCTAAGAATTTCTCTTTTTCATAAATTTATATAATTTTTTTATATAGCATATATAAATGTACTTTTATTGTAATGAAAATTTGAGAATTTTTTTAATTAAAAAAAAAATTTAAACAATTTTTTTCTAAGAATTTCTCCTTTTCATCAATAAAAGGTAATTTTAGTAAAAAAATAAAATTATATAATAAACTATATATTCTATTTTATATAGCATAAATATTATAGTGACACATTTGGTGTGAATATATGAAATTTATAAGAACGTATAATAATCAGAATTACCATTAAATTGCAGTTTAATTTGTAACTCAAGATTGCTCAAAAACAGTCCAAATTTATCTTGCATATTTATTTCTGACAAAACAACAAATATTGCTCCATGTTTTCAAATGGAATAAATGTTACTTTCATATTCGCTTTCAGATGCTAAAGTGATAAATTTTTTTTGCTGCAGTGGTTCATCAGTAGATGTTCACATTCATTCAAAAGTGTTGAGATATGAGGAAAAGATGAAATATATATTTACTGAAGAGTTTAGACGTTAGTAACTCGATAGATCATTTCACAAGGTGTTTTTGACAGCAGCTCAAAATGACCCGAACACACACAGCCTCTTAAAAACAATTGTAGTGAGTAGATGTGTATTTTGAGGGAAACCGTATGGACCGGAGTGTGTTTTGAGGACTGATGTTTCTCTGTGTCTGCGCAGCATGGGTTCGTGGCGTTCTTCCGCGTGGAGGACATGGAGTCTGTGGTTCGCAGCGCTCTGATGGCTGTTGTGGGATGTGCTGGGATCGGCGCCGGTCTCGCTCTCCTGATCCGATGAGTCTCCATCACCCCATCGCTCTCGTGTCCGCCGCAGATGAAGCGCGCATTAGCGTGTGGTTAGGAGTCGAATTCCTGCTGCGCTCCGCTGGACTCGGCTTTGAGCGCAACGTGCGCTCTCACCATCCCAGCATGCACTGCACCAAAGATTGGGCTCGACGTGAGCCAGTGGCGAGCAGGAGTATATTTTCTGATCTATTTTTCTAATAAAGTGTTGAGAAATGCATATGGTGTCTGCTTTCATTGCTCTACTTTGCAGATGTGTAAATGTTGATGAGAGCCGTTGAGTTTAACTCCCGAGTTCCTGATAATGGGCTGAAATGCATCCGTTTTTGCTCGGATTGACCTTTAGGCAAAGAGAAGCGAGACCGACCTCATTTCAGAGTCTCTTCTGTCTGAAAGTGAAAGAACTTCTCTAAAACGCTGCCAAAGCTTTCGATTCCGCTCGATGCTTTCAGTTGTGGTTTACTATGTATC